TTGCTTATAAATGGACTATTTGTACTCCAAAATAGTGTTTAGGCTTTCTATGTAATTGATAATATGTGTTTTGGCTGGGTACATTACTTCCACAATGTGTTTTGTAATGGCAATGCTTTTGTTGAACAATGGCAATGTCAATTGTGTTTGGTTTGTAATGGGGAAATGCTTTGTGCATTCCTGTTGTTTTCTAATGGTCAAATGTAAATAAAATGTTTGCTTTGAAATGGTTTGTGAAATGTTTTTGTTTTGTAATTGCAATGGTTTTGTTATCAATTGCTGAAATGGTTTTGTTTTGTAATGGTGCAATGGTTTTGTAATAGTTTGTCCCTAGCTTTAGCATGCTGTCCCTATATTCATGTACAATGATAATAACCTCACAAGCATGGTCAAAATTGATAACCATACAAACATATAAAACCTGGTTTGACATAAGCATAACAACCACAACAAAGCAAGCCAACCAATGAAGCATATGAAACTTGGTTTGACATAAGCATAAGAACCTGTTATTTTCATGAATGAACTTAGAACATAATTCAAGCCAACCAAACATTGGGGTTTCAACCATTCAACCATTGAAGGCTAATAACCATACAAGCATTGTTTAAGGTTTCATAACCCATATGTACAACATAATTGTTCCAAAAGCCTATTTTAATTATAAAAGTGGTGAGTAAGGTAAGATAAACCATGAACATTTCAAAAACCCCATGAATATTGCAAAAACCCTATTTTAATTACAAAAGTGTTCAAAACCACTTGTTCACACTGCACTGGCTACCCATTGCTTGCTTGTTGCCAATGTTTGTTGCTGTTGATCTTGTCATCTTCCTTGGTTGCCCATCAGTTGATTCTTCAACACCACTTACTGCTGCTGGCCTCTTCCTATATTGACAACCATCAACTTGTGCGTGGTTGCTCCCCTCTTCCCCAAATAATGCAGCTGTCCTAAAGCCCATGAATGTTTGCAAAAGAAGTTTGTAATTAGTAACATTAATAATTTATTACTAACATAATGTTTATTTACTTTCATTCAATGGAATACTTACATTACTATTGGATTTCCCAGAAGGTCCATTTGTCTTTCCTTTCAGTAGACCCTTGTAAGTTCTTTGATTATGACCATAACAACCACATTTAGAGCATTTTAGGATGGACTGTGTAGACACCCCATTTTTGACTGTCTTCAAGACTTGGACGTCACCGCTTGAACACTCGGTGATCATCCATGTTTGTGTTCGTCTTGAGTTCCCGGAGGCCTCGGCTGCACGCCTTGCCTCAGGACCTCTCGACTCGACTGTTTTGTGTCTGGTTTTTGCACCAAACACTCACTGGGCTTTGACATTCACTCCCGTCATTGTTATGATTTTCGAGTTCTGTCAAAGAGGGGCAACTGTAGACACCCCATTTTTGACCGTCCTCAAGACTTGGACGTCACCGCTTGAACACTCGGTGATCATCCATGTTTGTGTTCGTCTTGAGTTCTTGGAGGCCTCGGCTGCACGCCTTGCCTCAGGACCTCTCGACTCGACATTTTTGTGTCTAGTTTTGCACCAAACACTTGTGCTTTGCCTTGGAGGGGCAGGGAATGGCTTGTGAGCCATCCCCACACTCCACTGGCCATGGCTTAAGGCCACCGGCTGTGTTTTGTTGCCACCGGCCAAATATTTGGCTGGCCAGCACTATAGATGGCCGGCCGGCTATCTTTTTTTGGTCAATTGCATTTTTGGCCGGCCGACTACTGTGCATCTCCACCGGCTATGTTTTGTTACGACCGGCCAAATATATGGCCGACCGGCACTATGGATGGTCGATCGGCCATCTATTTTGGTCAAATTGTATTTTGGCCGGCCGATTACTGTGCATCTACTTTTGCAGATATTTTTGGGCAGCTGGCATACACTTTCCCCCCCTCCATACACGTATGGAGGGATTGCCCTATTGTTAGCTTCCTTTGGAAGCTTTACAAGACCATTTGGTCTACAAAAGAGAGGCTCCTCTCTCTTGTTCAAGGGGTTAGACAATTTAAACAATATTTTTTAGAGGGTTTTGAGTTTTAGGGTTAGGGTTCATATATCCTCCATCTCTATCTCTCTCTCTCTCTCTCTCTCTCTCTCTCTCTTGTGTATTGTGTGTGTTTTGTCTTAGTTTTGCACACAAACACCCACCATCACACCTTTTCTTGGAGCTGAGGCCCTTGAGGGTTGTTTTTGGAGTTGTGGAGTTGGTTTGAGCTTGAAGAACTAGCTGGTTCACCATTGGTGAAGAGGGTCTACAAGGGTACGAAACTTGTCCCTTTATTTCCCATTTTTGCATTGCATTTTTGCCTACTTTGCATCTGTTTTTGAGCTTTGTATATAACATATAAAAGTTATGATTTTTAGTGCTCTAAATAGTTTGTTAAGGGTGTTTTAAGCTTTGAGGTTGTTTGACCCCTCTTAAGGCTTGTTTAGCCCCATTTTGTGCCTTTTTTGGTAAGCTCCGGGACCTTACTGTTTGGGCCTCCTCACCACTGAAATCTTGGTGCCTTGAGGTCCCAAGAAGGAGAGGGCCACCCCCTTTCCTTGTTGTCCTTGAAAAGGGCCATTTTTAGCCTCTTGAGGGAGCATATAGTTTGAGTATGTATTGACCACGCCTTGACTGACTTTCAGGCTTATTATGTCATAACATAGCATTGTTGTATGTTGGTTTTGGTACGTTTTTAGTTGGTTTTGGTACACCATGCTTGCTTAGCATACATGCCTTGTAATGCCATATTGTAACCTTAACATGCAACTAGGTTTTAACCCTTGTTCAAGCATGCTTTTGGCCTAGATTTGTGAAGCTTTCGTACTTGTTTTGCCATGTTTAAGGTCTGTTTTTGGTTGGTTTAGTCAACCATAACATGTATTGCATAGCTCCTTTGCATTGTTAGCTTGTAGGCTTTAAGTATGTGAAGTGTTGAGCATGCATTGGTTGATTTATTTCAGTGGTTTGGCACTACTTATAGCATCATTTCAGTCCTCTTAGCATGCTTGTATGCTTGCATTTAATGCTCCTTCGATGCTTTAAGAGGTTGTGTTGTATGCTCCATGTTTGGTCATTGTGTATGCTTCCATGTGTAAGTCATTTAGATGCCATCTAAATGGTCTTTTGGCTTTGTTTTAGCATGCTAAAACTCTGGTTTTGGTCACAATGATCAAAACACCAGGTGAACAGATTCAATTATCTGTTTGGTAGAAAAAAATGAAGAGAACTCCACAAATCTTTACTATCCCGCTTTTGGTTACCTCAGGACATGTTTTCTAATTTATTTTTCCCCAAAAGAAAAATGAGTCCCAAACTTTCTTTCTTTTTAAGTTGTTCTCTTTTCTTTGGTTTTCTTTTCTGATCAACCAAACAGAATAGTAACAAACCGAGGGTAACAGAACCTAGAAATTAATGAAACAAAAAGAAACACGGACAATAAACAAGGGATCAAAAGCTCTCAGCATATCAAACCTTTTTCACCAATAAAGCCTTTGTCCCTGAGACCCTTCTTAGTGGACCGACCAACGCTGCAAATAGACTCCATATTCTTCGCAGAGAACCCAATCTCATTGTTAAAAACCAAGAGAGTTGCTGGAGCACCAAACCCAGTTATGTCCACACTAGTAACCACAAACTCCAGCGTTGGCTCAACCCCAGGCAAGTACTCATTGTCTTCCGCATTCTGCCCAAAAAAACCATTTTTTTTTTAAAAAAAAAAAAAAAAAACCCAAATCGATGAAAACAGAGCAAATTGCGCATAAACCCTATAAAAGCTTGTGTGTGTGTGTACATATAGAGGACTGGCCTGAATGAGTTCCATGAGGAAATGGAGGTCTTTGGTGTAGAGCTCGGCGGAGAGATTGGTGACGGCGTGGTGGAGGTCCTTGGTTAATGGGTTTGGAGGTTGTTCTTCTTCTCCGATTGAGAACTTGTGCTTCCGTATATCTTCTATATGTTGTTGCCTTCTGGTTATGGTTCTTTTGCGAGCTGTTGTAGTGGTTTTAATGGTGGCCATTGTTGATGGGTTTTTCTTCCTTTTGCTCCGCTTCTCACTCATGATTGAAATGCAAGAGATGCAAGAAAACAGAGAGAGAGAGAGAGAGAGAGAGAGAGAGAGAGTTCAGGAGTGGCTTTGCAGAGCTTTTGTAACTACAAAATGAAGAACTTTTACAGAGGGTGAAATTACTAAAACCCCCTTGGATGATTATTATTACACATACGTAGTAGTATATATACATGCAAATTAAGGATTTTTTTTTTTTTGGGGGGGGGGGGGGGGGTGGTTTTGGAAAATTCATAAAAAATTTTAGGGAAAAAATTTCAGGGTTAAGCGCATTTTTCAAATTAAATCTCAGGTTTTAAATTGTGACAATTTGTACTCCACCATTCCACTCGTATTACAATCCGATCCCCTCATCCATCTCCGTCTCTAGTAGTTAACGGAGGAATGATTTGGGCGCCAAAATTGTCCTAATCTTTACGATTTAGGGCAAAAGACATCATTCCATTGCAATTTATAGCTCCATGTAACCCACCTGGTGATTCAATCCGCGATTGAAGCCACACATCGAAGGAAGACAGCAATTTCATAGTTGATTTTACAAAAAGCGTTGGTCTTTGAGACAAAGGTAAGAAATGAGTTCGTTTTTGGTTGTTTTGTACGATTTTCCCCTTTATTTTTTCTCCATTGTTGACCTTCCTTTTGTCTCCATTGTTGACCTTCATTTTCTCTCCATTGTTGACTTTGGTTTTGTCTGCATTGTTGACTTTTTTTGTCTCTCCAAAGTTGTCCAAACTATTTTCTATTCCATCAAAGCAAAAGACAAAAATGAGTAAAGGTAATAGTTAGGGTGGGAACAATTAGGGTGAGTTGACTCATTGCAGCTATGGGTTAAGAGCAAAGATAAGAACTTCGTGGACTCATGCTAATCCTGCTCGGAGGTTTTTGGGTTGTCTTAATTATGGAGTAAGTGTATACAAGTTTCTACTAAAGTCAATTAGCAATTTTTTTAGTATTTATAGAAAATTGAGAATAAAGTAATATGTTCAATTTGAAGAAGATAATAACTGTATGGAAGATTCACCCAAAAATAATTGCTCATTTGTTTATGTTTGATTGCAATTATAGAAAAATGGGGCTTGTGGTTACTTTTTCTGGTACGATCCACCTACATGTGCTCGTGGTAGACAAGTGTTGCCGAAGTTGGTGGATAAGGTTACAGCACTAGAAGAATATGTTAATGAGGTTGCACAATTAGAGGATGTTGTTCAACGTTATCGTGCACGACAGAAGTGGCTTGTCATTGCCTTGATTGCTACATTGCTTATAAATGGACTATTTGTACTCCAAAATAGTGTTTAGGCTTGCTATGTAATTGATAATATGTGTTTTGGCTGGGTACATTACTTCCACAATATGTTTTGTAATGGCAATGCTTTTGTTGAACAATGGCAATGTCAATTGTGTTTGGTTTGTAATGGGGAAATGCTTTGTGCATTCCTGTTGTTTTGGAATGGTCAAATGTAAATAAAATGTTTGCTTTGAAATGGTTTGTGAAATGTTTTTGTTTTGTAATTGCAATGGTTTTGTTATCAATTGGTGAAATGGTTTTGTTTTGTAATGGTGCAATGGTTTTGTAATAGTTTGTCCCTAGCTTTAGCATGCTGTCCCTATATTCATGTACAATGATAATAACCTCACAAGCATGGTCAAAATTGATAACCATACAAACATATAAAACCTGGTTTGACATAAGCATAACAACCACAACAAAGCAAGCCAACCAATGAAGCATATGAAACTTGGTTTGACATAAGCATAAGAACCTGTTATTTTCATGAATGAACTTAGAACATAATTCAAGCCAACCAAACATTGGGGTTTCAACCATTCAACCATTGAAGGCTAATAACCATACAAGCATTGTTTAAGGTTTCATAACCCATATGTACAACATAATTGTTCCAAAAGCCTATTTTAATTATAAAAGTGGTGAGTAAGGTAAGATAAACCATGAACATTTCAAAAACCCCATGAATATTGCAAAAACCCTATTTTAATTACAAAAGTGTTCAAAACCACTTGTTCACACTGCACTGGCTACCCATTGCTTGCTTGTTGCCAATGTTTGTTGCTGTTGATCTTGTCATCTTCCTTGGTTGCCCATCAGTTGATTCTTCAACACCACTTACTGCTGCTGGCCTCTTCCTATATTGACAACCATCAGCTTGTGCTTGGCTGCTCCCCTCTTCCCCAAATAATGCAGCTGTCCTAAAGCCCATGAATGTTTGCAAAAGAAGTTTGTAATTAGTAACATTAATAATTTATTACTAACATAATGTTTATTTACTTTCATTCAATGGAATACTTACATTACTATTGGATTTCCCAGAAGGTCCACTTGTCTTTCCTTTTACTAGACCTTTGCAAGTTCTTTGATTATGACCATAACAACCACATTTAGAGCATTTTAGGATGGACTGTGTAGACACCCCATTTTTGACTGTCTTCAAGACTTGGACGTCACCGCTTGAACACTCGGTGATCATCCATGTTTGTGTTCGTCTTGAGTTCCCGGAGGCCTCGGCTGCACGCCTTGCCTCAGGACCTCTCGACTCGACTGTTTTGTGTCTGGTTTTTGCACCAAACACTTGTGTTTTGCCTTGGAGGGGCAGGGAATGCCTTGTGAGGCATCCCCACACATCACCGGCCATGGCTCGAGGCCACCGGCCAGTGATTTTATGCTATCGGCAATATATATTGCCGGTCGACATTCTTTGTTGCCGATCGGCCATTTATTTTGTCAAAATGGCAATTTTGGATGGCCGATCACTGTTCATCTACTTTAGTAGATATTTTGTGCCAGCTGTGATAGCTGGCACCCACCTTTGCTCCCCTCCATACACGTGTATGGAGGGATTTCCCTCTTAGCAAGCTTGTTTTGTAAGCTTTGCAAGAGGGGGCTCCTCCCTCTTCTAGGGTTAGACAACTTAGAGAAAAAATTGTTAGAGAAGCTTTGGTTCTAGGTTTAGGGTTTTATATCTATTCTATATCTATATCTCTCATTCTCTTGTATTTGTGTGTGTTTTAGGCCTT